GACCTGAATTTGATTCAAGTGTATCAAAGAAAGATTTCGAAGTGACATTACCTGAAACTAAAGCTGAAATGAACCTGCCCAATGTTGAAGTCAAAGGACCTGAAGTTGAAATAAAAGCTGCAACAATGAATACTGAAGGATCACCATCAAAATTTAAGATGCCTACATTCAATTTACCAACATTTGGAGTCGGTATTCCAAGTGCCTCGGTTGAAGTGCCCGATACAGACAAAGACATCAAAATTGATGGAACTGACATAACAATTCCTGAAAAGGTTCTTGCAGTTCACATCACAGCACCCAGCCTTGACACTGAAGGCCAATCAATAGAACATGAAGTAAAAGGCAGCAAGTTTAAACTACCAAGTCTTGGCTTTTCTGGGCCTCAAACCAAACGCCCTGGCATTGATTTAAGCTTATCAAAAAAAGATGTAGATGTGACTCTACCAGGAGCCAAGGCTGAAGTCAAACTTCCTGAAGCTGGACTGAAAGATCCTTCCACTGCAGTGGAAATGAAAGGTCCTGAGATCAAGATTGCAACACAGGGTACAGAAGGATCGCCATCAAAATATAAAATGCCAACATTCAAGTTACCAAAGTTTGGAGTTGGTACTCCAAGTGCCGCCGTGAAAGTGCCTGAGACTGACTTCAAACTTGATGGAGCTGACATTCCTGAAGAGGATCTTGCAGTTCACATTGCAAAAGCCAGCCTTGACAATGAAGGCCCATCAATAGATATTAAGACTACAGGAACTAAACATGAAGGAAAAGAAAGCAAGTTTAAACTACCAAGTCTCGGCTTTTCTGGGCCTCAAAACAAACGTCCTGACATTGATTTAAGCTTATCAAAGAATGATGGAGATGTTACTTTACCAGGAGCCAAAGCTGAAGTCAAACTCCCTCATGTTGAACTAAAGGAATCTTCTGCTAAAGTGGAAATTAAAGCTCCTAAAATTGATGTCCAGACAAGTAATGTTGAAGGATCACCGTCAAAATATAAGATGCCCACATTCAAATTACCGAAATTTGGAGTTAGTACTCCAAGTGCCACAGTAGAAGGGCCCAATACAGACATTAACATTCCCGAAGAGGTGCTTTCAGTTCACATCACAGCACCAAGTATTGACACTGAAGGCCCATCAATCGATATTAAAACTACAGGAACTGAACATGAAGGAAAAGGAAGCAAGTTTAAACTACCAAGCCTTGGTTTTTCTGGGCCTCAAGTCAAGCAGCCTGACATTGATTTAAGTTTGTCAAAGAAAGATGTAGATGTCATTTTACCTGAAACTAAAGCTGAAGCCAAAGACACTGAAGGTGCCATTTCAGTGCCAGATGAACGGACAGTTGACATTGATACCAAAAAACAAGCAACATGGGCATTTCCAAGATTTTCATTTTCTAGGTCAGCTGGTAAAGCCTCTGACGATGAACCTGAAACACCCAAAGTGGATGTCACATTACCAAAGGCAGAAGCAGAAGTCCAAGGAGGACTATCAGGGGCCATTTCAATAGAGGAGCCTCCTGCTGCAGAACTTGATCCAAACTTGAAAAAAAGACAATTTTCCCTACCCAGATTTTCTTTTTCGAGGTCAAGTGTTAAAGAACCCGCGGTAAGTGCTGAGCTACCACATGTTGATGTTTCTCTTTCGGAAGGAGAAGTGATAGTCAAGCAACCTGAAATGAAAATAAAAGCTCCTGAGCTTGAAGCTGAACATGATGGACAAGGAAGCACATTTCAATTACCGAAGTTCGGCATTGCTCTACCAAAGGTAAAAGGATCCGAAGAAGATATCAATGCATCACAGAAAGACGTAGATATCACTGTGCCAGATGTTAAAGCCAAAGTGACACTTACAGATATTGAAGCCAAAGAATATTCAGCCAGTGTGGAAATGAAAGATTCTGAGATTGAAGCTCAGTCAAAAGGTGTTGGAGGATTGCCATTAAAATTTAAAATGCCAACATTGAAAATGCCGAAATTCGAAGTTGCTACCCATGATGTCACTGTAAAAGCACCGGATTCAGACAATGTAGATGAAACGGATGGGGCTAAACATAAGGAGGACATTACTCTCATCATCAAAGGTCCAAGTGTTGATATTAAAACGGATGAGACTGGCAGCGTGGAGCTTGGATCTCCAAGTAAATTTAAATTACCATCATTTAAACTGCCAAAGCTGAGCTTCTCAAGACCCAACGCTGAAGGTGAACATGTTCCAGTTGACACTGAATCCAAAGAAGATCAGCTGAAAATTGAAGTTGATCCAAAAGGAGAGAGTAAATCACAAAAAGTGACTTTGACATCATTTGGTGAGATCATTAAGAATTTTGATGTTGAAATTGATATTGCAAAACCTGAAGAACAACTTGAAACTTTAAAGGAAGTTCAAGAAACAGTGGAACCAAATGGAAAGCAGCCAGAGGCAAAGGAAAAAGAAACAAAGCAAGATACTACTAAAAGTCCTGAGAGGACAGGTTGGTTTAAATTCCCCAGGTTTGGACTGTCCTCCCCATCAGAGCCTGCCAAGACTGTTGAAAAAGAGGAGCAGAAGGATGAAAAGAGCCCAGTAGGGGAAACATTGGATGAGGAAATAAGTACCACGTCTTCAGTCCAGTCATCAGACGCCTTTGCTGATATTAGCTCTGCAATGACTAGTGAGCATCTTGGCCTGTCCTTATCATCTCCAACAAAGGTGGTCACAGTCAAATTCTCTGATCCCAATGTTGCTTCAGGTCTTGGTGAGATGCATGGTAACATTATTACTTCCACCACAAGGACTGAGATGATCTTGGTTGAGCCGAAATTGCCTGAGAAAATCACCATTTTGTCGTCTGGAGCTTCTTCTTCATCGGAGGACACGCTCAGACTGGATTCAGGAAAATTACATGTCTTCACATCAAATATACAAGCGACACCAGAATCACAGTATGCCAAACTGCTAACTGATTTCCAAATCCAATCAGCAGGAGGCCTTCCCCTAGAACCAGAGGCTTACAAAGCTGCATCCTGGACTGTCGAAGACCCAGAAAGCGGCAAGAGAACGGTATACGAGAGGCATTTAGTTAAGGAAACATCAAGTGAAAGCAAAGAAACAATTGTTGTAACTCAACAAATCACACGTACGTTTGACTCTTCTGAGACAGCTTCATCCATTCAACGACTGAAAGACTCTATGCACTCAGACAAAATGAGGTTCTTTGATGGAGCCGATGAGTGAAATGACTTTATGTAAATGATGTCAGAAGATACAAACCCTTATTATCCCGCCTCAGTGGCTGGTGGGCTTTTGAATATCACTGTGACAGAAAGCGAGATAGAAAACAGGTTTGGCAACTGCAAAAGACTGTTAGCAAATGTAACTTACCAATCATAGGAAATGATCAGTGTTCAGGTGTTAACTTCAATCTCTGGTAGAATGTTGTTGACCTATAAAGAGATGGATTAATTAAATGTACTGACAATGAGATTTAGTTGTTAATAAGCTCTATAATTCAGTGCTTTTACTTCAATTTATGAAAGGACTTCACCAAATATCCTTGCTTATTGTGGTAAAAAACTAAAGTAAGCCATGTGTTTTGCTTCTCAAAACGTATAATATCTTTGTGGTTTCATAGTTTTAAATGTACAACAACTGATCCAAAGTACTTGTGCACTTATTTATCGGATGATAATCAACGATGCATTTGATTTAAAAACTGTTTATCTGAACAAAATTGATGTTACTGACATTCCAAAATATGTTTACAATAATTTCTCTGTAATGTTGACAGTTAAAAACACCTACAATATTATAGGGCAGTAGGCAATATGACAAAAAAAAATGATGTACATGTATCTGCAGGATATTCTTGTTGCTGTGGCTAAAACGTAAAGAGACAATAGCATTGCAAAGCTGAAATGAAACGCTTATGATCAAAAACACCAAGTGTACTGCTACAAACTATATTTTTTATTAATATTTTGCTTACAACCTAATTTGCTACAGTAAAATATATCCAGAGTTTGGTATCTTTCAATATCACTGTACAACGTGGGAATCTTAAATTAGTAGTGTAAATAGCTTTTAATGAATCCATGAATTCTGATGTAACATGTTTGCAAAGTTATACACAATAAATAAATATTATTATATGTACACCTGATGGCTGACGCTTGTTAGTTATATTCCTGTTTATTCTGTTTCGTGTGATCTACTAAAATAGGTCACATGTTAGTTATACTGAACACCACAAACGAAATGTAAAACTAACAGATACTTTTGAACAGTAATTGTGGAAGGTAACTAAGGATCTACTCAAATGCTGTAAGTAACATGATTCTGTCTTGGGGAGGTTATAATGTAATATTATGACGATTTTACTCAACGTTTCGTCACGACTACAGGCATATTCATATGAAGTATTCATTTATACACATATATTCGCTCACTAGAGGGAGACACACCTCACAGCTATACCATCACCAGCACTCTTTTCTTGGGATAAACTTAAAAGGGAATTAGCTCCATCTTAGCTTGTTTTATTGACGTTAATGCTAGCTAAAACAAAAGGGCATATCAATGCTAACATTTGCTTCGTTGCCGTTTGATATCTAATATGACAGCACGTTTTACTAACTTACCTGCTATATGTTATATCAATAAACAGGCTCGTAGAAAGAAGAGAGGTTATTAGGTCTCTCTGTGAGTTCAGGTTTTAGTGTAAAGATTTTTGTAAAATTACTGACAAGTTCAGCTAACGGCTAACAACGTTAGACATTTCAAAATCAACCGGCAGCTGCTCGGTCAAAACCATATATACAGTCTATGGTCAAAACGTCAAAACCAGTTCAGACTCTGATAACGTGCTGCCTTAAAATGCTCCTCGTAAATCTTATACTTCAACGATAACTGTGACTTTAATTAGTCCTCTTCCAAAGCTTAAATCCCAACATTTCAAAAACAGCCCTTGAACGCAGCACCGGTGCAGCTCCACTGCGCACACTCAGAACACTTCGACACTAAAGGCAACTTAACCGGGAGCCCCGCCGCCTGTCGCCCACAACAGCATCATCATCATCATCATCATCATCATCCTCTTCATCATCCTCATCATCATCAGTATCAGCATCAGTGTGATGAAGCAGCGGAGGACGGAGACCTTCCTGCTCTGAGACACTGGACCAGCCTGCACACAGGTACGGAGCTTTAATTCCAAAATCTTTGCAAACACTAAAAAACAATGCTTTTATTCATTTGTATTAAACTAAAATTACCAATGAGTTTGATAATTATGAATGCACCTTTGATGTGTAGGAAATGTATATAACCTGCTTCACCTTGTGAGTTTTTATACTTGTGCGTGTGTAGGATTGCATAAGTCTAGGTGTAGCAGAAGCTGTGTTTTACATTTAAATCTATAATTAGAATTTCATACCTGCTACAAAGTGGTTACCTGTTGTATGTACCATGCAGGTAAATGTGCTTTCCAAACCTGAACAGTGTACTACATTCTTTTTTTCAGATATATTTGTATAAATATATGCGATTCACAAAGTTTCTGTGCCATTAATAGAACAGGAAATGTAAATTAGGGCAACAAACACAGAAGAAATTAAACAAAAACAGAGCAGTGGAAAATGTCATGAGGCTGTATGGTGAGAGAAAGAGAGTATCACTATATTTGGACATGGATTACATTTTCATTTCATCTCCTTGGGCTATGAAACTTACTGGATTCATCGGAGGAAGCTGTATTTCAGGGAGGTGGTGTTGCTGCTGGCTCTGATTTAACAGTAGAAATACAATGTAAAATCACAAGTGCAGCTGTGGCATTACGAGGAGAAGGTAGTGGTCATTTTATCAATACCCTGTCTACAAATATAAAAATTGTTGGATTAAAAGTGATTGTTGGACAGTATTAAAGGATGCAAATTTGGTGAACCCGCTGCTCCTTTAACTGGACCGTTTCCACCATGATGAATCTCGTGATGGATAGAAGAAGAGAAAGCATTTTAATCTGTGAGGTCACACCAGATGCACATCTTTCATCCGAAAAGCAAACTGTGAAATGGAAATGAGACAGTGGCTGCTAGAGGAAATGTTTTTATTTTTTATTTTATTTTGTTGTGCAAGTACCTGGCTTCAAACTCAAGAGTAGTGGGATGCTGCAGAACATCGGCTCCTGTGGGGCTTTTGGCTTTCACCGTTTTTTGTTTTTTCTCAGCTAGAAACAGTTTTCATTATGAACTGGTCTATAAAATCAGAACACAGTCAACCTGCAGGTTAAAAATCTCTTAAAACCAAAAAATCTCTTAAAACCAAAAAATCTCTTAAAACCAAAGTGTCTTCAGATACACAGTTTTGCATCAGTAGTAATATTTCAAATATAAGAGATACGGTTGGAGATACTGTAATTGATGCTTAAAGGAACCTTCTGAAGGTTTTCACTCTAGTGGTTCTGTTGGTTGGTGTTTGAACTCTTTTCTGATATTATGAAGTTTCACATTTAAGAGAAATAACTGAGACATTAGAGTCACATATTTACAAGAAAAGAAACCAGGAGAAACGTGTTTTTTTCTTTGTCATTGATTCCTTCACTTTGCAAAGTTGGATCAACATCTTGCACATTTTAAGTTTTGGACAAAAATCATTAAAAATATATTCCCTAAAAGGCTTTGCAAATAAGAAACACCATGACTTTGGGTGGAAAACAAATGTAATCGTAGCTTTTGTTAAGAACCCACATCATTGCAGTGCCAAGTCTCGAAATCTGTGTGTTTTTTGGGTTCATTATCAATTTCAGCTGTCACATAGAAAAATATTGATCCACAGACAAAGAGCACAAAATCTTAAATTAGGTGGTATTTACTTTGACTCAAAAAAATCCTAAAGTTCACCCTGGGATTAAAATCTAGACCTATAATATACATCACAGACTTTAACATGCAAGATGCCAAATGTGCTAATAATTTACATCTCATTTTCTCTGTTCAGGCAGAGGTAGAGCCGCTTCCTGCATATATTTTAATACACGGATAACCCTGTTCAGACCTAATAGCTCAAATAAGACATTATTATTATTATTCAGCTGAAGAGAGAGAATAAAAAACAAAAAGCATGACAGAAGCGTCAATGTCTAAATTCTCGTGTCTGTTACGCGTCAATGAACGCCCCCCTCAGAGGTCGGACTGGCATCATGTGCAGGCCTCTTCTCCAGTTTCTATCTCATCCGGAGTAAACCGGAGAGGCCACGCAGATTTCCCATTCGGAGGAACAATACTCTCCTCTGATGAGGAATAAAAGGCTGTATTGTCTCATGATGAAAGGGCAGAAGCAATTCCAGGTTTCACGGAGAAGTCTCACAACAACAAGAACCCCAGTCCTGATGGAGGTAATTGCTGCGTAACGGCTCACATGAATACCCCCAAATCAGCCGTCGGCCTTGCTTGTGCGCTCAGGCAAAGTGCACTACTCAGACAATCAGAGGCACACATCGTCCCCATGGCAACAGCAGCTGCCAGTCTGATTGTATGTAAAGTGGTGTTTTTGACAGCTTGTCACATGTAAAGGTCTGGTGAGCAAAAGACTGCTGCTTAAGGCTGTTTTATAAGGACACAGGGGTTTAGTTAACATGCAAACTAATATCCCACTATAATTGTGCATATGATAATATTACACAGTTTCTACAGGCCACAATCCTAGTAGCATGACTGGTTGACTGCAAAAATCCTCTGTACACTACCTGCATCGTAGCAAAGAGCAACATGACACAGTTGAAGGCGGGTTGGTGATGAGAGTCAAGCATTTAGAAGCTAACAAGACAGATATTACCCTCAGGAGTTGTTGGAGACCAAAGACAAAGCAAAAAAAGGAGAGAATATTGGACCTACATTTATCAGATGGATACAAAGGTGATGATATATCAGTGTTGTGTTAAACTTGTTTCTGCTGCCCCCAAGTGGCCCAAAAAATCAGTTATGTTATATATGTGAACAGGTGGATATCATTATTTTTTTATAGCGAACAAAATGTGTCCGTAACATCAAGTATCTGAAGTTGGCATCAATAGCTGAGACTCTCCTTCAATAGTCATTTATATTCCTTTGATGAGATTTTTCCGTTTCCTACGTTGAAAGAGTTTTGTTGGCTGACTATGAAGTGATACCTTCATAGAGCGAGTACGCTGCAAGAAATAAGGGACAATATCCTATTTCGCAGCTCTGGAAAAAAACAAGACACCTCTCTAAAATGATCAGTTTCTCTGTTTTAACTGTTTATAAGTATATGTGTCTTATTGACATTTTCATTTTTTTCATTTTATTCTGTAAACTTCTGACAACATTTATCCCAAATCTAAACACATTTTCTTTTTAAATTAGGTCATTTATGTGCAGAAAATGACAATCAGTCTAAATAACAAAGAAGAAAAAATATGTTTAAATCAATTTTCCAACAACACAATCCCAATGTTTTAACTTAGGGAAGAATTGAGGCATGAATATTTGGTTGAATAACTCTTCTGATTTCCAATCACAACCTTCATGCGTGTTATGAATGAATCTGTAAAGCTCTGAACTAAATGGTACAGCCTTAGGTTGATGTATTCAATTAAGGCAATATTGTATAATTGTTGTTTAGAGTATTTTTAGATCTACAGGTAGTTTGATGCCAGTATTGATGAGCAATTAGAAAATATGATTTGTGATCCCCTCCAGGATGACTGAGGTGATGAACTCTCTTGAGCCCGGCACAGAGGACTTCAGCGGGGGAGGAGCGTCAGCAGATCAGGGCGCAGTATCCTTCCAAATGTGTGTGTGTGTGTGTGTGTGTGTGTGTGTGTGTGTGTGTGTGTGTGTGTGGTGTGTGTGTGTGTGTGTGTGTGTGTGTGTGTGTGTGTGTGTGTGTGTGTGTGTGTGTGTGTGTGTGTGTGTGTGTGTGTGTGTGTGTGTGTGTGTGTGTGTGTGTGTGCGTGCGTGTGTGTGTGTGTGTGTTTGGATGACTTCAGACCAGTCCTGTTTTATTTGAGTAGAAAGGCACAGAGTGGTGAGTCACAGGAGTGATGAGTAAAATGTGGGTAGACGAGGTCATGAGTCGGACTCTGTCCTGCTGTGTGAGTAAATGGTTTCTGTCTTATCCAGCTGAGTGATTTATCATCTACTACTGTAACATGTATTTTGTTCCATCATTTAGTTTAAAGACTGATTACCTTTGCCGCATTTTATGGTGCCAGGCAGTTTATAGAAGGAAAAATGCATCAAAGTTGCTGAATTTGGAGTCATTACTTTTTTTCACATTGGAATATAGTCATTTAAATTATTTGAAGAAAATGGATATAAGAAACTATACAAAACAGCTTTTTAGAGAAAATTATATTATTATTTAGCTATTAATAATGGGGCTCAAGAAACGATATTGGTCAAGATTCATAATTTTTTCTCTCCTTAGAATGAGGAATAAAAACACTTTTCATATTTTGGAGATATGAGAGGATAAGTGGAGGACTAGTCATGCTTGAAAGCCTGAAAACAACACTCTCTGCCATATTTGCATAAAAAAAATACTCAAACAGGTAATACATTATGAAAATAGTTACTGGTTTCATAAATACTTGTCAAGGATCATTTCAGATACAATGTAGTTATAAAGAGAAGATACTATCACAAGCACTTCAAGTGAATGATAAAATTAACAAGTCAGTGAAGTCTAGTCACACATCTTTTCACAAAGTCTTCATAATCCAATTTGTACCGCATTGTTGTTCTTCCACTGTGTGCTGCTGGGTAATTCTTCAAGTATGATAACCCTCCAGTTAAACCTTACATAAGCTTCTAACAGATCTTCCCAGATACCCATGAAAGGTATCCGAAGCTTTCCAAGAGACTTCCCTCCATCGTGGTGGAGCCGACAGACGGAGCCGAGGTGGAGAGCGGCGAGCTGCGCTGGCCTCCGGATGAACCCAGCTCTCCGGACGGCAAAACTGAGAGGAAGAGAGCAGAGGAACAAACTGCAGGTGAGGAAGAGGAGGAGGAGGAGGAGGAGGAGGAGGAATCCAACATAATCTTGAAAAAATCTACAAAAATATGAATGACAAGAAATACACAGCAAAGCAAAATAAAATAAATACATGTCAAAAAACAGGGAAAAAGAAGAATACAAATATATATATATCTACATGTCAATAAATAATCAGACATTATGAATCAAAAAGTAACTGGTTTTATGTCCATATATTTCTAATTTATTTTATTGTATAAGCTTATCATATGATATTTTATTTTTAAATCATTATCTGTAAAGTAACTAGTAACTTTAGCCATCAACTTAAGTTTGAAGTATTGAAAAATTCTATCTATGTACGGTACTTTAGTAAACATATTTAGTAACTCTCCACAGTCCGTTCACACAGTCAAACAAACAGCTGTCCTCTGAGTGTCTCTCTAAACACGAAGAGCTGCTGCTTCACTAACTATCATCCGTCTCTGTTCGACCATAAAAGGTTATTTCCTGTTTTGACTTCCTGTATTTCTTTTATGCAAATGACGCACCATGCAGTCATTCTCACCTTGAAGTAGAGAGACATACTGTGGCGCAGTAATATGTAACACGGAGTAGTAAAATTAAGTTTGTGTCAGTCTCATCCTTCCTGCAGGAGTCAAAGAACTAAGGATTAATGCTACTCTCCATTTAGGGTGGATCATACAGGGAACACATTTTCACCTCAGTTTATAGATCTGCATCTGGTCCTTTCCTTTGACTTTATCAGTATTCACGCTGCCTCTGAGTACCACTTGACGCTGTAAAATTCAGCTGCATTCACCACATATTATATAAGAATTTAGTTTATTTCCCAATAAAGGTTTAACGGAATATTAGACCGATTGAGTTCAGGCATTTGCTATTGATGTTGAAATTCTATCTAGATTTGTTTTGTTCGGGAATCATTTGCCTTCGACACAGTTCATAATTTTCTCCTCTCACTGTCTCCTTTCCCATGGCATAGTTCTACGGCCTTGGGTATTGCTGCTATCTCTCTTAAGGAGGAGTAGCTTGGGCGCATTGTTGTTGCCAGTCTATGACAGAGCACAAGCCGCCATGAGGTAGTTTACTGTTCAGGGACGTAGGTTCCCTGGCGCACATTCTTTCCTATGGACGAGAGCTCTAGTTAGATTCAGGGTCCATAATTGTTTAGTCTCACTGATAAAGAATGTTGATTATTACACTGCAAACTAGTTAAAACCTCGAGCTACAGAAAGAGTTCTTCAGAATTGGTTCTTCAACTCGTGACACACCACCTGTCTTGTCAATTCTCCGGCCGTAACTTCAAATAAACCGTCAGTGTTTTCCATCAAAGCTCCAGCTCTCCTCGTGTCTCTCTGAGTCCTGTTTCCAATTGCTACAGAAGTTTCCCCCACATGTTTTACCTGCTGAATTTGATCCATATCAGGGGCTTGTGCTTTTGCAACATTAGATGTTTTATAGATATATAAATATTGTCAATGCATGAGTTACAACAGAAATGAAATAGCAATGATGATGGTGCATTTACACATACCAAAACAGTCATTGTAAAAACAGATCGTCAACCACTAAGGAAACAGGAGGAAGCATTTCAATACTAATTTCTAATATATTATAGATACTTTACTTCTAGATTTTGCCCATTTGATGATTTGTAGTGTCCTTTTATACAAGTAAAACAGTTGGGAATAAACATATACAAAGGGATCTGCCAAGGTGCAATTTGAATCTGTAAACATCCGTGCTGACCTCTATAATTACACACTCAATTAACTAAATTACTCACCATTCTTTGTCTCCTACGCCTGAGGATGAAGAAGCCCTTTAGGAGATACTGTATATCTACAATATAAAGCGATAGGCATTTAAACATTTCTTTAAAAAAAAGATGCACACTCTCTTATATTTGTACCTGTACCTAAGCATGTTAGCATTGTCATAGTGAGAATGTAAGCATCCTGATGTTAGCATTGCGTGAGTTCGATTCAGCATTATCTCTTGCACATTCCCTTTCTTTTTTTGTAGATAAATGAAAGTAAACTGTAATTTGAAAGGTGAGGGAGTCATCAAGCCTCTGCATGTGTTTTTTGTTTTCCAGATGAATACCAGTCGAATGTCGACGTGGACGAAGAGGCTTCAGCTGCGGAGATGCAGGACTGAACAAACTCTCCTCCTGCGTGACGCACTGTTACTGTGAGTGAGTCCAGACTTGGATTGATGAAATGTCCAATAAAGGTCAACGTTGCATTGATAGAAAGATCATGGAGACAGATTAGACACGGTAGAAAAACAGATTCCCAAACCCCAGCTCACAGGCTTGGAGCCAGAGTCGTGCTGCCACCTTAAATTAATTCACAGAGGTGTTTGTTTTTATTGTTTTGGGTGCGCTTCTTCCTTGGATGAAGCTGGTTTTGACACATGTAAGGAAATAAAGAAGATTGGAAGTTGATATATTTTCCCTAATTTGCCTTTTTACGAGAAGTGAATGAAGAAATAATCTTTTGGCAGCAGGCGGTGTTTTTTTTGTCAGTATTTAAACACTTTATTTCAAGTTTACGTATGTGAAGGTGGTTTTGAAAAATGTAAGGTTATATAGAAGATTGAAGGGATTAAGTTGCTATATTGCTTTTTGTTAGGAAAATATCACTCGTCACCACACTTTTTTTCCTAGTTGGCCTTTTGGCTTTTCAGGAGAAGTGGATGAACGAATAACCTTCAGGCAGCAGGAGTGATTTTAATGTCAGAATTTATTTTATATTTTCCAGTTTACGTACAATAAGTGAGGGTTTCCTTGTTTAATATGACTGTTTTCCAGCATTCCCAGCTTGCTATATCACATTAAATACAATTATTTCTCTCTGGCTCCAAGCCTTCACCACCCAGAGTCCCATCGGATCTGGACAGATGTTTATAAATACTGTGTGAGTATCTAGCTCAAGTGTGCCATATTAATACTACTACTAATAATAGTAGCTGCACAGTTTTTACATTAAGTATAGATGTCATTTACATCTCTGTATGTTAAGTGCTGACTGCTGTAGTTTTGGTGATGCTTGGTCTGTATTCACTTTCAAAAATAGCTACGATGTTTTAAAGAACAGTATTTGAGTTAGAAAAAGCCTTCATCACTTTATTCGATGTTATCGCAACACATTCTTTGATATATTATAAAATGTTGTCTTCATACAGTGGGTGTTTAAAAGGAATGTAATCGTATTCTGTTTTACTTATTGGAGCAATATGTTCACAGGAGTTTAAAGGCAGTCCATTTTGTAACAGAAGTAGAAATATCCGGTGTATTTTAGACGTGTGTCGCTTGTCACAGACATGATATTTTTTAAAATACTGGAAGTAATTTATTGCACAAGTAATAAACCTTTTAACAATTCTTAAACCGTTCTCTCCTTTCTTGTCCTTGTGGTGTTTGAAGTGTCAAATTCTACTCTGATTTGTTGAGGCTTTTTGTCTACTATAACACAAATATAGTCTCTGACTGCAGTGAGATTTCAACACACAGCAAGGTAAAAAAAACACATGCAAATACACAAAATACAACCAAATACAGAAATGTATTACAAGTAGCTCCACACAACAATGAGGACTTTGTCAAAAACACAAAAAAAGGTCATTCACTTGGCTGGGACACAATCTTTGTTTCATTGGTTTGTGACTCATAACGTTTTTAAGTCGGGTATCCGTGCAAAATTTGCTAAAATAAGTTTGGGTGGGACAATAAGTGTATCTGCGTTTCTTTATTTGGTCGATTTGTATCTAAATAGATGTCTGTAAAGTCACTATCCACATACAATCAAAGATGCCGCACTGATGAACTAAATATGTACACTACAATCTATTAGAAAAGTTTAAATAATAATTATGCTGAATATATTAAGTGTGTTAAATGTAGGAATTGTATAAATAAGATTATTAACTGGAATTTACAGAAAAGCCACAGTTTTTTCATTTTGTTCATTTCATCGTTTATTTGAACCGGGACAATGCACATTAATGAACACTTAAGACAAAAAATGCTTCAAGTGTAAATATGCCGGATTTTAGCTTTGAGTTAATTTCCATCCGTAGTCCCTGACATACAACATATAAGAACATGACATTTATAAATATGGCAAAAAATAAATACATGATATGCAGAAAGAGCAAGAGCAGCATATACAAGCATTCATGACATGGTAATACAATATAGCAGCTACGATATATAAAGTGCAAGAGATGATACAAGAGCTTCATAAAGTGCAAGAGGAGATAGCCCTGTGTTAAAGTGCATTTAGCGGTGATTGCACGTCTGTTTGTTTCTCAACCATTCTTTGAGTTGACCTTTAAAACTGAGAGTGGGACAATCCCGTATCTCAGTTGGGAGGCTATTCCAGAGTGAGCTGGATTTAATGGAGAGGACATTTTGACCAAAAGTGGTCCGTCTACAATGGACTTCACAGTTTATGTCAGACTATTGAATAGTTCTAGTTTCACAAGATTATTGTACTCACGTATTGCACAGTTAAATTAAAACATTTGAAAGAAATTCATTTGCAATTAAGACAACAGGTTGACTACACAACATGTAAGGGCAAGACTTGCTCAAAGTTGCTTTTTGAACATTTGACATTCGAAAACTATTATTATATAGTGACAACTGGGACAAGTAAAATAGTTTTTACCATGCATTACCCAGTGATGACAAAGTACTCATGTAAAATGATCAATACCACCGTGTAGAAATACTCAAAGTCCTTCCTTCAAAATCTTACAGAAGTAAAAGTTGTATCATCAAGTTGCTTCTGAGATGTAGTGGAAAATAAAGTAGCAAAAATGGAAATATTTAAAGGGGACCTATCATGCAAAATGCACTTTTGTACGTCTTTTATACATGAATATGTGTCCCCGGTGTTCCAGGGAACTCACCAAGTGTCAGAAAACACAACCCTCTCTCTTTTCCTCCATACCCAAATCTCTAAAAACGGGGCTGCAACGGATCTGATACAGACTGATCCAGATTTGAAAATGACGTCAGGACGGAGGAGCTGACATATCAGGGGAATGAGAGGTTGCCGTGGCATGGTAACAGCATGGTAACACGACGCTCGTAACTCGCCCCCCTCCTTTGCGGGGGGGCGTGGTCCGCTGCAGCGCATGCAAAGACAGGGTGGAGGAGAGCAAAATAGAGCGAAATGAGGCATGGCTAAAATGCATGATCTGTTTGGTATTTTGAAAAAGAAAACGTATAAATATACCTTATATAGGTATGGCCCTACAATATATTATTCAAATATAGCATGATAGGTCCACTTTAAGTTAAGTACAAGTAGGCAACCTCAACATCACTTGAGTAAATAAATGGACTTAGTTACTGTACACCAGGGCTTCTCAAACTCCGGACCAAGGTCCGGATCTGGACCGAACTGCAAATCAATCCGGACCGAACCCTGTGCCCCATTATAAAAATTATACAAGATAAAAAAATTAAAAACTTTCGGATTCTGATGTAAATTAATGTATATTTTCTTGTGTCTGACGCGTTGTGAGAATGAACGTGCATATATATTTACTTGTGTGCGTGACACGCATTGCAGACCGCAAGTTAACCGCAAGTTTACCTTGACTTTCTAATGCTTCTAATGCCTTTTTTTTGAGGTTCAAGGCATTGGCTACAGACAAACAGTGCCATTTCTCCCACTAGTTCAAACCACCATATACTGTATGTCTGTATTGAATGTGTGTGTGTATACAGGGGCGCCGTTTGCCGACAGGCAAGGCAGGCAAGTGCTTGGACCAGAAGGGGGCCCCCAAAGAAGATAGATTAAGAAGGTCCACAGCAACGACAACATGAAACACCCTTTAATTTACTGCAACGAAATGTCGGGAAACCCCCTCAAGGGGGCCCCATGCATAGCGCGCCGTAAGAAACTGCTTCTTAATTTCAGTTTCGTTGCTCCGCTCCGCTCCGCTCCGGGGGGGGGTCCATTGATCCGGACCAGTGACCTTGTATAAAATTCACAAGTGGACCTTTAATAAAAAAAGTTTGAGTACCCCTGCTGTACACCATTGAATTGAGCAAATGCAACTTGTTGAAATAACATTTTAAGAAGACAAGTAGTTGCAGGATGACATTATGAAGATGTCTCTTCCCTGTTTATCTGCCTTGTATAAAGACACTCAGTCAACTATATGCGCGGCCCACGTACTCTTTGTTAGCTTGTTGCGGCCGATGCTCTGTGAAAGGTCAGCTGAAAGTCTTGATCCAGACGGAGAGATGGATGGCGGGGATCTCCCATCTTATATCTTTCATGCCTCGTCAGCTCTCTGAATCTGACCTTTTGCGATGACAACCTTGTGAAGAGCACTTCATCGGAGCAAGCGGGTCACTGCTGGGAAAATGAAGGACTGCAGGGAGCAAGGCTTCAAGGGGGGTGTCAATTATTTCTGAAATGTCACAAGCTGCTTTTCAAAGGAAGAAAGATCTCACACTTGTCTTTTCTCTAAAGAGCAACTCGCTGTCTCGCTCTCATATTTTGCACATTTCTCTCACAGAGGTGGAGGCATTTAACGTGTGTAGCTGCAGCGCTGCATTCAGTGAAACATCATCACAATACAGAGTCACTGATGCTGCAATTGAATACAAAGCTATTATATATTCAGAGTAAACGTTTCTGAGTGAGATATCTCAACAACAGAGGATGAATCGCATTGACTTTGATGGCCCCCCTATAAATGTTTACTGTATCAAATGGATAGTGTACTGGAGGTCGTATTTGTATTACGATTTTTATGTACGTTAGACATCTCTCCTCAGTAGCTATCTTTGAGTTTTTTTCCATCTTTACCCAATAATTGGGACTTTTTATCACTTGTGTCATATTGGCCTGTGTACATAAGATTCGATGGATTGATTGACTGATTTCTCATCTAGCGGCACCATAAGGTCAAGTTTTCCTCATATCTTCTGAAATATGTCTACATCTACTACATGGATGTTCACAAATGATACAGACATTCATGTTCCCCAGAGGATATATCTTATTGACTTCATCTGATCCTCTTACCTCTTGCCCCATCAAAAATAAAAATGTACAGTTCTATTTCATTGAATACTGTAGTTACTGACCAAATACCTGCAATCCTATGAAACTTCTATCAGCCTTAGCTGTTAGCATGCTAGCACACTAAGCTAAGTTGTTGAACATGCTGAATACTGATGGGTTGGATCAGCATTTAAGCATGTCCTCTCTGCATCAGAAGTGGAAGATAACAAACATTGACTTATTTTTAATATGATTTTCTTTATTTCTTCCTTATTTCTTCTAATAATTTTTGGGTTGGGAGCGTTTTTTATCTTTTATTTAACTGTCTGTATAGCCCTACCTCAAAATTTTTCCTTGTACATGAACTAACTAAATTTCAATAAATAACCTTTATTTTGCCCGGCTGTACCTCCCGCGGCTGCTCTCCTGTTTCATTATGTAGAATTCATTCATTCGATTCAGAACAAAGACCACCACACCACGCCAGCGGCCACTTGTAAATCTGTGTATTTAAAAGTACCTTTTAACACAGCCATTAGAGCCACTGAGTGTTGTGAGGTAGTCGTGTTTAGATGATGTCAAAGTGTGCTGTGCCAGGACTTTCATCTCCCACTCCTGCCGGCTTCAAACAGGTCTTTGAAATGTGGCCGAGGTAACGCACAGCAGCCGTCCTCCATCACCTCCATCACCTCCCAAAGGCTGGATCACAAGGCTATTACTCTGGCTGTAATGTCATGGACACAACAAGATGCTAAAAATATTTGGTAACATTAAGATAAATATATGATTCTCCCTTCTGTGACGAATCAGAATCAGGTTTATTGCCAAGAGGGTTTTAACTTTCAACCATTTTCCTTGCTGTTCTAAGATATTATAACAAATATTTATATTCTACTGTGAAAGAACGTTTTTTTGTGAGAATATCAGTGGTTATATCAGTGTTATCTCGTAATAACAAGAAAGCAATAGTAATTTGGTCCATGCTCTCTCCTTGAAATTAGGAACTTCACACTATAATGACACATTGGGACGAAAACAAGAGAGATTTTGAGCTTTTGGTGTTTTTGCAGGTTTTCATATAGTTCTTTTTTAAAGTAACTTTGTGCATCTATAAGTCCATAAAATTCTACTTAAGTAAAATGGGCTCTCGTGCTTTGAGACTTTAAGTGTTGCCTTCAACCAAGGGAAATGTTTCAAAGCCAGTCAAAGGTCTAATTATATAGAGCCAATGATGATAATTTGCCCGTAAATCATAAATAGAGAGGAGATTTTTTGAAAGGTCAAACTGAAACACAGCATGGATCTGCTGAAACACTCGAACGTGCACGGTTAAATTAAAGAGCAGTGAGATGCAGCG